TTCCATGTTCTCAACACTTTTGCACAATACCGTGCAGTAATGTGATGTTAAAAAAAGCCCAAGTGGCAGATACCACAAAAGCAGCTAACCTTAAAATCTCAAGCATTCTGTTCAAAGTGTGTCCTATAGTCACTACCAACAAAATCCTCTCACCTCCCACTCTAAAAAAAAAGGCAGACACACAAAACCATCAGTAAGCAGCTGAAAAGTTTCAGTACTCGAGTGTCCAACTCCTTTACAACACCCAGTGCATGATTGCTTTGGTGCCTGTGTTTATGGAGCTTTAGACGGTCCATGTTTTTGAGTGTGTGTGCACAGCCTCATTGCAGCGGCATGGTCCATTTAAGAGGGCGACTGGCCCCTTGGCTCTCTTTAGTTGTCATGTGCTTCAGAGGAGAAATGTGGCACCTGACCTCAACATTACAGCCCTGTGAACACATCTGCACCAACACACACAGAGGAGGAGCACATGACTGCATGGCAAGGTCATATAGCTCCATATCACAATATCATCACCAATATTGCAAACTTGACTAATGGGACATTTACCAGTAAAGTTCCACCACAAACAAAAAAAAAAACTGTAATTGGGGGGAAAAATGGAAGAAAGCTTTGGAGGAGTCATGGTGAGAGTGTGAGCCAGGCAGCAGAACATGTGGCTGTGTTCACAGGAAAACTATGAAGAGTTTGTGTGTGTGTTCCTTGTTCACACACAGTGGGACCATAAATAGTCGCTGCTATCAGCAGTGTGGGCATTCCAAGACAGAGCAGTGTACTATCAACACGGAGGGCAGACCTGACTCTTGGGTTTTCTCACACACTCGGAAGGAGAGAGGGAGGAAGGGAGGGGCGAGGAAAGAAAAAGTTTCCAGCTCGAACTGAACCTTTCTGTGTGGACATTAAAAACCTGAATGAATAGTGACACCGCTTATAACTTTGTTTTTGTTTGTTCAACTATTTTTACGTTACTTATACAATCTGACATCACTGGAAATGTTTACATATGGGCTAAGTTGGCCATTAGTCAGCCTCTGCTTAGTCTGCTCAAGGACCTGATTGAAAATATTCTTCACATCATCGAGTATCGGGGCTCGGGTGAAGAAGTGGGGTCTGTTCTCAGACGATGCCTCATTGAAGATGCTGATCGTGTTGACACAGACATACGCTTTGCTGGGAAATTCAAATGTCACAACAAGACAAAGGTCAGGGAGAAAAGGTGAATTTGAGGTTTATTAGAAAAATTTAATTTAAAAAAATATACAAAAATTTGTGCACAAATTAAAAAGCCAAAACACTGCACTGTTGCACTGATTAGCTAAGACGAAGAGGACGTCTGTGCTGAAGATAACAGGTGACGCAGACGCCATCAAATAATCAGCAGACCACGAATCCTCCTTTAAATTCACTAGTTTGCGTGAACAACACTGCTCATTTCCTCCTTTATATATTTATTCTTGAACTCTACCTGGGCAGATAATAATCTTTAATGATGTTCATTTATCGTACACTGGAGCTTCAAACTATTCTAGCTGCATTTCCTCCTCCCTTTAACCCTTTCTTCTGATTGGCCGTCCCTCACAATTAAAAAGTATGAAGAGCAGGTGGGTGGGGCTTCTGTCCCCATAGCCACAACTGATACAGATGACAAAACTATTACCCCCTGTATGAAAATTTGATTTTCCAAGTACTGTTAAACAGTGCAAGGATTTTTAACGTAGCTTTTCCAAACACTGCTTTCATTATTTTACTTTATTTTACATAAAAATAAAATTATTTCACAAAATCCAAAAAACTATATTAATCAAATTAAACTAAATTATTAGCCTCCCTGATGCTAAATAGTCAGACGTGTATCCTCTTTGCTGGATAACAGCTTGAAGTTGTTTGTTGTAGTCTTACACACGCCCCCTGTTTTGTTTTTGGCAGGATGTGCTCGAGTGACAGCTCAAAGGTTTTTATACGGTGTGTAAAATAGGTGTCAGGCTTTAACTTGATTTTACAAGCTTTGAGCATTACAAAGTCAAAGCACATCATTGGACAGCAGTGATTTGTGCTGTGGTTCAATAAAAATGTCTAATAAATCCTGGTCGTTTTTGATTTTTTCCAAAATAATTCTGTTGTTGTGTGCAAATTTAAATAATTTATGCTTTCTAAAGAAAAATAAGATATTTAGAAACGGTATGTTAAAATCCACTGCTCTGTTTAAAAAATAATAATTAAAAGACTCATCTGTCTTAGGGATATCCTCGTTCTAAAGTCACGGCTTTCAGCCAAAGGGATTACTTTCACATAGACTTTGACCATGTATAATACAGCCATCCACCATTGTAACAGGATTGTGGAGAATAAATCTGACAGCATTCAGTATCAGATCGAGATAACAAACACTGATACAGCTTTCATCTTATATGAGAATGTGAAAAAAAGTAAAATAAAAGGAAAGACCGGTGATGTAATCAAAAGAGGACTGTTTCCATTTGATACGGACACCCTGTCTATGCATATCTGCTGATAGAGAACATCAATCCAATATCAGTGTTAAATGAATTAAATTAAAATTAAATTAGCACCTGAGAACAGGACCAAATAAACAATAATTCGCCTTCTTTATAAGCACTTCTCTCATTTCAGCTCAGTATTAGAGCCTTTACTACACAGGCTGTAATTTATGATCATGCTAATTTCTCCTCTCTCTGCTCTCATTCCGAGTGCACACCTGATAACAACATTATGCTTTGTAATCGTAAGAAGCCGACAGCTGAAGGATCGTTTTTGAGATGATTAACTGTGCAGGTTCACTTGGCTGCTGTTTTCAGTTTAGTTGAAAACTTCTGCAAACATAGAAACAAAGGAAAACTGCTGACGCAGCAGCTGGAAAGTATCTCCAACCTACCTACTGTTTGCTGTTGCTTCGTCTGTGCTATGTATAAAAGTCAAACGAGGAGATCGTGCCATTCTTTTTGGAGATTTCAGAGTGATCTGATCAACATAACACATCAATGCATCCCTAACAACTGCAGCAGTCCAAAGTAATTAACGTGTGTAGACAAGAAGTCAGGAAAAATACAAGCCACAATGAAGACCAAAGCTAACTTTGACAGTGTTTTCCATTAAATGTTTTGCCTTCAAGTTTAAACTCAGATCATGTCAAACAGATACTGTCCACCGTGAAATCAACAATGAGTGAAACAAGTGTAAAAAGGGAGGGACTCACTGATGGATAAAAGAGCTGAAAGATGATGAGAGCATTTAAAAAATGACTGGAGCAAAAAGGACAAGCTGATAAAAAAACAAGTGAAGGTTGTTTCAAAGACGACAAACACGACAAAGGAATCAGACAGCTGGAAGCATATAAAATAAGCCGCCACAAGCAGACAGAGTAAAACAGAAAGACTGAGACGAACACAGATTTCATAAAAACTGAAACACCAGCACGGGGAGTGCAGGGCGGGGTGTTTTTATAGAAGCCTATAAGAGTTTTAAGGCGTTTTTTTACTAATGGTCCATTGAGAAGGCTCTGTTGTTTTAGCCCCATAAGTTTTTACTGTCTGGCTGCAATCTGACCTTGGCTGCTTCATGGAGAAGATTGTGATTGTCAGAAGCGCGGCCAAACATCAACTGGCTGCGCTGGAAAAATACTATAAACAAGTCTCAAATATCATCCCTAACCCCCCGCAGACGACGCCTTCAGACTGCTCGACTTACTCAAATCATACAGACATTAGTCTCGTGGTGCCTGCGTGACAGTCATGTCCAAATCTAAACAAAGCAAATGTTTTGTGCCAAATTCAAGAATTTCACCGTCTCCTCAGTCTAAATGAAGGACGGCTTTTCCAAAACATGGAATCTTCCGCCTCAAAAGTCTGGTGTTTTTAACCAACTTTATTTTCCTCAATTTCAAACCCGCCAGAATGGGGGAGGATAGCTGTGTCTAAACGACACAAAGAGACAGCTTTACTGAGACTAGGTGGCTATTACATTAATGTTCCTTATAGCTTTATTCAGACATACCAAGATACAGTACCGCGTTCCCTCTCGTCTCAGCACTTGACCAATTTATAGCCACTTTTCAATTCATTTCAGTTGTATTTATGTAATGCAAATTTACAACAGCATTTGCCTCAAGGTGGTTTATGCTGTAAAGTAAAGGCCCTGCAATGAAACAGAGAAAACTCTAATAATCAAATGACCTCCTTGGATTTTGCACTCAGCAACAGCGGGAAGGAAAAACGCCCTTTTAACAGGAAGAATCGGGCTCAGCGAGGGCAAAACACACTGTGGAAGAGACCCAGAGATTTTTGCAACCTCACTAGTGTAGTGCATGTTCATAAAGAATTTAACCCTGGGTATCTTTGGTTGCAACAATTCACATAATAAGAAATAATAAACTTCCAGGTTTAAAAAGGGGATATGTATCTACACATGCCTGCAAAGCCCTAAATACTGTGTAAATTTAGGGTTATGAAATCTGGGAATATGGTAAACTCTGTGTGCGTGTGGACCCTGTCCAGCGGACACTCACTGCAGGAAAAAAACTTTTAGCCAAAACATGAGAACTGCTCACCACTGCACTTCGTTTAAGTCCTAAACAGTTTAACCAGCAAGTTTAAAGGCGATCAGATGATCAGCTGTTGAGATAGATTTATGAGGAGTTGGATGGACAGACACACGTTTATGGTTTGGCTCAAAGCATTGACCAACACTGCCAGAAAAATAACCCAGAATATGCAAGTAGATGCTTGGTGTTATCTGGAAATGCTGTCACCACATAGGTTTATGCATCAGAGAGATAACAAGAGTCTGTTGTAAACATTTAAGGGCTTTAACCACCAAGGTTATTTGTTCTCAACTTGCAACACTGTAGCTTAAATGGATATATGCTACTAGTGGGGTTACTTTCCAATTGTTCCAACATTTTTAAAGTACTCAAAAACATCTTTGACTGGGCTCCTTAAAGGCCAGTGTACTGCATGCTGGAAACCACTAAAACCCTGTGGTACCTGGTAGAGGAAGCGCTGGCTGAACTGGTGCATGGCGCCCTGCAGCTGGCTGCGCTGGCTCTGCCACTGCTGGTAGTTTCGCACAGACTCGGCTGTAGGCCTCTGCCACGTGGTGGTTCTGGTGTTGTGGTCCACATAGTAGAACCTGCCCCGCTGGTCCACTCGTTTCTCCCAGCTGCAAGGGGGGACGCAGAAAGGGTTAGTCGGGGCAGCAACGGGCGCTGTGCCTTTCAACAAGATTTTATTAATCGCTTCAAGAGTGGGTGGTTGCATCGAAAAGCTGCTGATAGCAACGGTACTTATTTATGGAGACGAGGAAAGAGAAACAGACGAGAAAAGGAAGGAAAACACAGTGAGGAGGCAGATAGAGAGTAGGATTCAGGAAAGGGAAAGAGGCAGGCATAAGGAATGTTTCCGATGGAAAACTGTTTAATGCTTCCTTTTTATTAAGGATGTTTTAAGATTATTCCAAAGTCTCAATCTTGCTTTGGATTAGTGCTCCAGTAAATCACCTAAAAATCAGCTGTAAGAGACAGAGACTGAAGCTAGCTGAATTTTGTTTTAGTACGTTATCACTTTAGCTTTGCCTGAAATATCAAGTAGTTTATTCTCCTTAAGCAGACGCCTGGCGTTACGCATGATGAGTAAAAACAATGGAATATGTCAGGTTTCTGACTGAGACTAACCATGTCCTTCAGTTGTTTATGTACATGCTATTCTTCCCCTGAGACAGGAGGTCTGGACTTGGACTGAGATAGTGACAGTCTACTTAAAGACAAACACACAAAGAATAGACCCACAGAGGACAAACGCATGAACAAAGCCCCCCTCCCCAACACACACAAACCAGCTCCCCAGGCTCACCAGGACCGACTGCTGCTCTGCTGCTATTCTTGTATCTCTGACTTAAGTTCAACAGAATTTGGTAAAGAGAAAACAGCATCGACTTCCGAAGGCTAAAAACACTCACTGCAGATACAGACCAGCTTAAAAAAAATCCAAATGCACACAGACAGCCTCAGATAGAAAATAAATAGTCGTGCACAGCAGCACCACACCTCCACTCTTGTCTTGCTACATTTTTTCTTTTTACCTTTCATATATTTGGAGAACAGCACAACTGCTACTTAACGACTGATTGAAATCAGCATAATACAAGCAGTGTAGCTGGCTCACACAGAATCAGTATGACTGGAGCCGCTGCCTTTCAGTTTGTCTAAAGTCCAGGACCACTCGCTGCAAACCTGAGTCTCTAAACAAACTCAGTTTTGTTGCACTGAAGCATATATGCAAACTCACATTCAGGCTGCAGGAGGAGAACTGTATGGAAGATTTAGTTTACCAACTGAGGCTATGAGTTTACTTGCTGCATCATGTTTTATTGGATGCCTGCATATTTATATAACACAAAATGGTAATAATTTTCATCTGTTGGGTATTTAAGCCTTTAGTGCCCAGCAGAACAAGCTCACAGTGAGATGGAAGAAAATAAAAGACAGGCAACAGAAGATCCTGGACTTGGTTGCATCTTAGGACAAAGACACACATTACGCATTTCTCAGGACAAACAATCTTCTTGAAAAGTAACATGCATAGTTAGGTCAAGGTAAGTGGAAATAATTAGTTTTAATGCCGGCCCACAATAATAATTTTTCATCTACTTGTTAAATTGTTAATGATGGGGGAAAAAGTACAGTTCAAATTCTTTTTTAAGTCAGGCTTTTTGGTTCTAATAACCAGACAGCAGCCCCATGTTCAAAAGTTAGTAACTAAAAAATGGTAACAAATACAATGAAAGCAAGCGATCCAATAAGGTGTTTAATTAGATAAATTACTATTACATATATAATATTTAAAAACACTGCTGAGCTCTCTAAGAACTTGATATGATATTTTATATGATACTAATGGGTGACGCAGTGCATGAATGTAAACACAGACAAACCAGGAGGATCATGTGACAGCCCCGGCAAAGAAGTCTCTTTCTCAAGGACACTTCAGTAACACGGATGACTGCAAACACAGCGAGTTATTTGGTGGAGGGACAGTCTGTCTGACCACGATGCCTCTGAGCTTTCTTTAAAATGCACAAGAAAACTCTGCTCCCTCTCTGATATTAGCAGTGGCTTGTTATTTACTGGAGCCGTGGAAAATCCCAGAGCCCACAGAGGCCCGTCTGGGTCTCTCCTCAGTTGGGCTATCTGTCTCTGACGCTCTGTACCAGTTATGGTACCATGTCATTAACCATCTACTCCGCGTATTTCCTGGAATTTGTAGACTACAGTCCCATCACCATGTTCAGATCATACAGTGCAGTGTTGAGCTTCGTTTGAACAGTTCAATCATTATTTATAACTGTGACAATCAAAAGCAACACTTATTAGCTCCGTCTCCTGTCTGTGCTTGAGTTACTTAACCTGCTGAATTATTGGTGGGAAAAAAGGTAATAATGAAAAAAAAAAACATTAGGTGAACAATATGAGCATTCAGTGTCGATTCCATTTTGGGTTATACTCCAAGCAGAAAGAGTTAGTTGCATCTTCAAGCGGCTGAGATGATTTCTTCTGTAGAGTGGACTCAGAGTTAGTGTGAGGAGTGCAGACAGGCCAAAAGGCCAAAGCTGGTGGTTCAGGCATTGGGATGGGACTGGGATGCCACCTTGATGCATCCTCTTTTGGAACCTTATTTCTCCCATATTAGATTCTCTTCATTGGCTCCCTGTTAAATCCAGAACCAAATTGAAAATCCTTTTCATCACTTAAGGTGATGACTAATCAGGCTGCGTCATATCTCAAAGACCTTATAGTACTGTATCAATCAATTAGAGCACTTTGCTCTCAGACTGCAGGCTTACTTGTGATTTTTAGGATATTTAAAAACAGACATCTGGAGAACCAGCTTCCAGTATAGATCTGGAAGAAAGACACCCTCTCTACTTTTAAGATTAGGCTTCAAAGTTTACATTTTGATAAAGCATATAGTTAGGGCTGGGCCAGGTGACCCCTGAATCCTCCCTTAGTTATGCCAAAATACGTCTAAGCTACTGGGGGCTTCCCATGATGCACTGTGTTTCTTCTTCACTCACAATGTGTTTATATACCTCTTTGTATTGAATCATTAGTTATTATTAATCATCTCTGTCTCTCTTCCACAGCGTGGCTTCGTTCCTTCTTCCTCACCTCACCCCCAAACGGTCACAACAGATGGCCGCCCCTCCCTGCTGGAGGTTTCTTCTAAAAGAGAGTTTTTCTTTCCCATTGTCGCCAAGTGCTTGCTTATAGGGGGATGTAGCACTTTAAGATGACTGTTGTTGTGATTTTGTACATTATAAATACAATTTAATTCAAAAGAAGTGAACTGAACAGAATTCAAATGCAAGAATTTATACCTTTAGGTGTATTGTTAACCAACAAAGAGTGGATAGTCAAAAAACAAGACAGAAAAGGTAATCTCACATGGGTTTCCCGTGGAGGGCAGAATGAGATTAAAGCTTCAGGCCGGGCTCGGTCATGATAGCTTCAATCTGAACTCTGGTTTGTTTAGCATCAAAGAAAAAATACTGCTGCTCAGTAACACAGCCGCAGATCTGATTACTGCTTAAGGCTTTGTTACGTTTTTCAGACTGACTTTTTAAGTGGAAATCACGGCTACACTTTGGTCTGGCATGCTGTACTTCTTAACTCTAACCATTTTAGTCAAGATGTAATCATTTGATGTTTTGAAATGCTATACTGGATATAAACAAAAGCTTTTCAGTTTAGTCTGTTTGGTCTAAAGAAATCTTTGAGCTTGTGACGTGTTACTGCTCACAAACCCTGCATCGTATCATTATATGATGAAGAACAATGTGAGAAGCTCTCCTCAGTCTGGCTTTGGATTGCTTTCATTCTTTAAAAAACACTATTGCCTAACTACCCCAACCCCACCCCCTTCATCGTCTAAACAGCTCCTGATGTGTACATCTGGAGCGTTAGCGCGGTATTAGCTTGCTAATTGATCCTCTGAAGGGCCACAACGGCCATCCGCCAGCACAGTGGTGGATGGAAGTACATGTGGCATGAAGAAAGGACTTTTGTTCTCTGGGCCCCCACGCTCTCGTTCCTTGTATGGAAAATCTGAGGTGGAGGTTTGGGGGGGGGCAACCGTTTCCTAAAAACAGCCTCTCTTTCTCTCTGTCACCCAGTCAAACGCTCTGAAAATCAATCAATACTCACTCCAAGTAAAAATGTGGTAAATGGGCTGAACTCTGGCAGAACACTGTACTCCAGAAGAGGGAGAAACAGTGTTCTCGTTACGATGCCTCAGCACACAAACACTACGATCAAGCTGCAGCGTTAGGCACAGTTACAGTGCAATGTGTGTGTTTATGCCAGAGAACATATAACGTGCTCTTAATAAAACAAGAAGCTTTGATCGGGCAGAAACCAAGACTGGGAGGGAAGTTTATATGTTCAGCTTTAATTTTAAAGTCACAGTCCACCCAGAACTGAAATTCTTCACTTCAATGGAATTGCTGCAATCAGAGCTCACAGGGGTCAGATGCCCCTCCCACCAACTCAGAGGCTGTTTTGGCTCGTTTCAACAGAACGCTGTCAACTTTAGCAGCCAGTCAGCTGATGTGCTTCACAAGGGTCTCAGAACAATAAAGCGTCTCTCATTTCCTTCTGTCCCACAACACCTCTGCTTGCTTTTCCATCGTCGACACTGCTGACTCACACACTCCACTGCTGTTTAGTCATAATAAACTCCATTCTCTTTTGGCCAGTTTTGCTTTAAGTTTTACTTTTTTCTTTGATAAAACATTCTTTTTTTTTTTGTCATTTTGACTTTGATGTTTCAGGAATGATTTAGGCATCGGCCTAAATCATTGTGGAACAGGGCATTTCAACCAAGTCCAGTTTGAACCTAATGTCCTCAACCGTTCGGTGCAGGGCAATGAGATCAAACTGCGCCTTTATTGTCCACCTATGCTGACGTGCAAGCCTGGAACAGAAACAGTACGGCATGATTTCAACCTGGAACAGAACTCCACTTGTTTATCTTCAGTGGGGGTTTTTTGTCTACATGCTGAACTCCGCTGTTGTTCCTTTTCCCGGACAAGCCAACTTTTTACACAATCAGCTCTCAACCTACGCAAAGTGTCATTACCACTGGGCAAGGACGGCACACAAGTGGGCCTCTGTATCTTCTGTAATTACCATAATCCTCCTCTCTATGTAGCCAAATAGACACAAATGTCAGACCATTAATCTGGCATAAATGGTTATTTAAGGACAGATCCTGCTTTTCCCCAGTTACGTTACTGTCAGATGGTGAAGCTAAATAAAAGTGGCCACAGATATCAGAGGAAACGGTTATTTTCAGACAGGTGATGACTGAATGCCCTTTAGTTTACAGAAAGGAATGTTAACACATGCATTAGCCTAACTTTACGTAACCCTAAACAACCAGTGCACTGATGGAGAAAACACATTTAAAAGTGCTACGGGCGCACCCCGGTGGCAGTGGTCTCTCCCACGTTGTGGTTTTGGTGTTGTGGTCAACGTAGTACACTCTGCCATGAGGCAACACCCTCTGCTCCCAGCTGCACAAAGAGAGAAGAGACAAGCACGCACAAATATTCATTTACTATCACACCGAATACATTCCAGCAAC